GATTGGCGTATATATAGAGGCGTACGTGTCAATTTTACAGTTTATTATTTCATTCCTACAGGATTTTTGTGCTATTTCCATTGGCACTGATCCTTAGAGCTGGACAGAGCTGAAACGTTGGGAGATGGAAGGGCAGGTTGGACATGTGCAGACAGTGAAGAACACAAATGCCATGGAATACACATTTCCTTTTAACTATTCATAGTAAATTCTAGAAGCAAAAGGTAACAGTTGCAACACAGCAGAGGAGTGATCACATCAACACCAAACTGCAGGGGCACATTGAAGGCTGCACAGTGCTCACATACATGACATTTCACAGAAGTAACTGGACAGGAAGGTAACACAAAGTATGCTCGTTCACTGAACAACCTCTCAAGGAGTCAAGTTCTAAAACACCACCATCAATTCCACTCTAATGTCAATTTTCCAGCACAAGACTGGGCTCATATTCCATTAGGATTTTAAGTTACTTCATGGTCTCTCTTGGCCTCTTCTGACACTACCATGAAATAGGACTCCCAGTTCAATATCTTGAAGATCCTTTTCCAAAAGTACAATACTGCACCTCAAGGTTCATCTATTCTGACAAATACCATAAGAAGACTTACAGACATTCATGCAGAAAGTTAGTAAACCTCAAGCAAAATCTGGAATTATTTTATTGTAATTAATAATGTATTACGGTGATTATGGTTTGGCTGAGAACAAGCAGACCAGGCTGAATGCATCTGAGCTAACTGCCAAATCTTCTACACACGTGACAGATGGTGGAAACATTCTCAGGGCTCCCTATGCACAAGAACTCTGAAACCATGCAAAAGCAAGCTCAGATTCAATGTAACAGCAAAGTCACAAAGCAGGTCATGACGGAATCACACTAAGCAGAGCGCTAGCTACCTTTACAGATTTGGCTTTTTCCAAGGAAAAGATGAAAAAAATGCAGTCGAGATGTCAGGAGAAAATAGCAGCATAACTTAACCATCGTGAAAACGAAGAAATCTGTGACTTTTGATAGCGTGCTAAATTCAACAAGTGTGGAAGAACAATGCGACTGAACTCAGTAGAGCTACATGCCCTCCTCAGAAGGGCTTCTTCAGGCCTCCTTAACAGCTTCTAAGGACAATACAGGGTGGTTTGGAACTACTACTATTTACCTTTCAATGAACCTTACTCTTTCCAAGAATATAATTCATTTTGTGTGGTTGTGTTTAATCTCTTTTGGCTCATCATACCTTGAAAAAGGTTTTCAACTCCAAGAATGTTCCTTAAATACTCCCTCTAAGAGTCCCAGAGGGCAAATGATAGAGAGTAGAGCAGGAAGATAGAAGAATAAATGAAAAGTAATATCATACCACTTAGAACTCTCCCAAACACACCCCTAGTTACGCTCACTGCAAACAATGTGTCTTGCTCTCTACCTAAATTTTTATGGTATCTGACAGAAGGTAACTCACTAATAAGGAAGAGGCACCTACAGACAAAAAATGTCAATAAAAAAAAATCAAGAGAAGAAGATCCAACCATTGACATGTGCCAGTTCCCTCCATCCTTTTACTGAACCATTTCAGTTCTTTCCCCCAGAACAACCACTCTGCATTCCTTTCTACAGTGATCTGCTTTCCAGAGCAGCACGCAAGCAACACTTGAACCTGAGCTTATGTCGTGTTCATGCATTTAACTTTTTATGAAGTTGTTCAAAGGGCAATTTAATATTATTGCTTGGATGAGTTTACTTGTGCTGTTTCCAAAAGGAGATCCTTGAATACTTTGCTTTTTGGCACTCACCAAATAAGCAGAAATGCAGGTGTCATCAGAAACCAACTTAAGAGTGCAAGTTGGAGACCTGATTGTCTTTTAACACAAGATTGTGCCCTTAATTTTAATGTATTACTCCAGACTTATCCCTGAGACAAGAATTAGATTGAAAGTATAAATTTTCCAAAAATGGTATTACTCTTATAGCTATTATCAGCCCACCTATCTGATGAATACTGTACTGTCAGCTCACAAAAACAAAGAAGCTGTAAAATGTAAGCAGAAGCTGCAGTTTAGGTCATTAGAGAAAGTCTAAGATGAATTTTCATGAAGAACATGGATCTGCTGTCAGCAAAACTTGCTGGCTGTAGTGATGGACAGATAGTTTCTCTCCTTGGATGCCAGCTAATGTAAGTCAGTATTTGCAACCTATCATTTATTTTCTCCCTGCACAGAGATGCCAGCAGAATCTTTTACAACAGAAAGGGAAGGGCAAATCCTGCCAACTATGAAAATGGCTTATAATGATGATATTATAGAGAAAATGCAAATGTTGTTCATGTATCTATCTGGCCAACAGAAAATAGAATAATGCTCTTTAATGGAAGTTCATCATATTAGTGGCAAAGAATACCTTGAAACCCTGAAATAATCCCCCTCTACTTTCCAGAATATAAAAATTATATGTAAAAGCTACCTGAGATGATAATGAATCTCAGGTACCCACACTGTTGTGAAGGTTCAAAACATCTCCTTTCAAACAAAGCAGGAGTCTCAGCAATTTCTATACTGCTTTCTCATTTGACTTCATATAAATGTGACATGCTTTGGTGAAGATCAAAGAAATAGTTTTATTGAGTGACCTAGAACAATTTTTTTGTGATTCATTTTTGGCAAGCATATGTTTCGCTGTCGTCAAAACTCATAAAACCACTTGAGCTTTTCCCACTTCCTAAACACCTTCTTGTCACTTAAAGGAATAGAGTACACTGATACGCAAAAAAATAAGTGTCAAAGATGATTAAGTTTCTAAAAATCAAGCACTGAAAGGTCAGAAAATGGCAAAGTAGTCTAATCTTTAATTTAAATTCCTCATGCCAGTGCATCATGATTAAGTTTTTAATTATATGATAATAAATGGCATGTAATATGACATCCCATTTAAAGGGTCCGGACAAGCACAAGCTGTCATTGTTTGTATAAGGGTAAAGTGTCAGTACAAAGTAAATCCGACTTCACTATAGGCTTTAACCTCAAAAAAATTACTTTGAGGACTGTTCATGCAGTTTACTAATGTCAAGAGCAGTCTGAGAATGTACAATGAAGACTGAATATATGTAAATTTTAGTTGTTGAGATCAAATAACTCTTCCATAAGTATGCATGAATTCCAGCATTTTAAAAGCTTTGCATCTTGCGTAACACTGGTCAGCTTTTCGCTCAAGACCAAAAACAATCTCCTGACAATTCTGAACTCTCTGCTTTAAAATCTTAACATGAAAAAGACTCAAAGATGAAAGGCTCAGAAACAACATAGTAGTTTTGGGCGTGCTATTTTTTAACTACTCTGATAAGTCTGTGAAAACAAACCAAAACAGATTTATGTATTGGCAAATACTGGGCAACCTCATTAACTTAGAACTGATAGCTTCTTCGTATTTTCACATCCAGAACATACATAATTGCACACTATACAGAACAAATTAACACATACATTACTGAATAACACATCAAAGAAAAACAAGCACAAAGGCTTTGAGTGGCATTTAGGGTTAGAAAGAATGAGAAGAAAATTTTAAAATCCCTAAATTTGGACTTCCTTTTTCCCAGGAAAATTTGTGGTTTGAAATCTGGTTGTGAATAATTCAAAGTAAGATCTCTAATAACTTCCCATCCCAAATGAACTCGATATAGAGAAACATAAAAATGTGGCATTATCTATGTTCTCTGTCTTTAATTATTGGATTTCTAACTCCCAAATTGTCCACCATCTCTCCCACTTTATGCTTAAGGTTCTTGTTCTCACATACAGAGCTCACAAAAGTCTCTCCTGCCCACATTTCATTTTCTCCTTCTGTTACTGCCTGAGTTCTATCCAACTTATTTTTCTTAAACGCCTACTAACGCTCTTCTGGTCTTTGCATAGCATCATTGCTTGTGTTCCAAATAACCAACACAAACTATATAGAAGTGATTTTTTCTTCAAGGTCAATAAGTGTTAAATCAGTTAAAGCAATCCTTTATTTTAAGTAATTAGAATCTGTAGAAGAAAATTATGTTGTCTATCTTACTGCACTGCATTTATTGTTTAACTAATGCAGACTATTCCTGACTTGCGTCATAGATATATTTCCACTGAAAAACTGGGAGAAGTGAAAATAGTATCATATCTAGATTATTGTTCTGAAGCTTCAACTAGCTTGCTGGGTTTACAAAACCAAAGCTGCTCCACAAATCTTTCAACCCTTCTTGATTAAAAACATTGATTTTGAAAGGATGGGACTAAACCCCTAAAACTGAACACTGCCGAATTTCACAGCTGCTCCTTATCTCTGTGATTGTCTGACCAAAACCTCAGAGCTGACAGCTCTGTGATGATGAAGTTCTGCAAAAGTTAGGTTATGGATCTGTATTTCCCAGAGATGGACACAAGCCAAAAGAAAACTCTTGCATGATCTTCAGAAGTACTAGTGGGAGTACGTTTTTATATTCACACCTATGTATACGTGTATGGGGGTATGATAATGTTTCTTTTCACGCTGCATAAATAGTAGAACATAACCACACTTATCGCCTCCCACTGCTCAGGGGCAATATAGGGGAAGAAGAGCAGGGTTCTGGTTCCAGCTAACTCCAGAATTGTGTTTTGCCCCACTTGTCAGGCACAAGGAAGCTCCCTGCTGCCTAGGGACTGTGTGTGCTCATCTACTGACAAGGCAACCCGTAAAAATCATGCCCTTCTTCAGAAATTCAAGTTTATAGGTCTGAGGTCTGAGCTGCTCAGTATATTCACTCACACATTCAACAGTAAATTCTTCCTCTGATTCCCCTTCCCTTGCAAGAAACTTGCTTTTTCCCCATCCATTGCAGCATTTGGCATATTCAGTGATCAAACATGTAGACTTTGAAGCTTGCTTTCTCTTGCTACTCCTTATGATCAGGATAGTGGTATATTAGCAGGTATGGGGGATGAAAAATGTCTGTAAAGCTCAGATAGGTGTTTACTGTGCAAAGCACCATTACCTGTCTGCATCCACGGTCACGTCATGAACCCCTCTCTGAATGACATCTCGAGAAGTAGCTAGGTCTGGTATTCGGTTCAGACTTCTCGTATATAGGTTGAGTCCTCCATCTGTCATGTACCTGAAAATAAATGTGTGGTCAATCAGTGGGAAATGCAGCCATCTGCCAACTGTGTTTCACTCTAAAGTTAATGGAGTGTGGAATTCAACTGCTTAAGGTAAAGACTATGCTATTAGATGTAGACTTAGACTAAATATTCCCAGCTTATGGGCTCAGTGAAGGGAGATTAGCTATGTGCTCATTTTCTAGGATCATTTGGTAAGAGTAACCTGTTTTGCCAAAATATATTTAAACTGAAGCTCTCAAATATCTTTGTAATTTGAAGTACCTTTTAAGTACTGCAGTTTGTCAAAGAATAACACTAGATGCAAGAGGTGTAAATCTAATGGAAAAACAAAAGAGCAAACAAAATCATTCATCTAAATTGGAACAGAAATTAAGAACCTAAATCCATAGTCTCTGCTAGGATGCACACACACATTTATGAAGAGAGATATCACTGAAGGCCTTACAGTGGTATTTAAACATCTGTTTCTATCTGTGTTTCCTTTGCTTGATTCACATTATAGTGAATGACTAATGAATTCAACAGAGGGAATAGTGCTTCTTACTCACTAGAGAACCATTAAAGAATTCTGAATTTCAAGTGGCAGCAGTAATTTCTGAAATGTCTACCTGCAATTTAGTTATCTCTGTGAGATGTTTAAAATGGTGCTTGTAACTGAGCGTTACTGTGAGCTTCTCTCAAGACCTCTCCATTATTTTCTTGAAGAAGCTTACATTAAACTGTCTGCCTTCAAAGAGTTGATTTTTATACCTCCTTCTTGTTTTTGATAACTGAAAAATATTGGCGTACCCCAGTGAACCTATTAAAAAACAAATGTACAGGCTTACTGAAATAAGAGGGATCCTGAATGCTGGGAGAATGTCTAAAATACAGAAGTTCACTCACAATTCAAACAATCTTTAACGAAAGTTTTCCTAGGGCCATGAAATGATGCCATTCAAATCCATCTTTCAGCCAAAGTGTCCAAGTATACAAACACTTGACTTTAATAACTCTACACAGACTCTGAAGCACAAGCCAAAACTCACACACACCACTGGTGCTCCAGATGTAGTGTTGGCCCTCATCCCATGTCTCCTTCTGGAGCTGATCTAGTACAAATCAAGTGATCTCTCAATCCAGGAGACCAAGGGAGTGACACAGCAGTCCAGCAACACCCATCATCACCCCCGTGATGTGAACTGGTCCAGACTTAAGAGTTCAAAGCTGTGGTAGGGAAGCCCTGTGAGACACCAACAGCTTGGGACAGCAAGCTGAATGGCAGTCTGGATGATGGCAACCTCATATACATTAAAACACAAAGGATTAGTTTGTTTATTTTTAACTAAATGCCAAGGGATCTGCAGTTCAGAAGGGGATTTCTGAAAGTCTGATATCAGAAATCTGCAGAAGATAACTTTAATTATTTTTTTCCTAAGGTACTAGATTTTCCTTTTATTTTGAGACTTTCTGAGAGATTATTTAGGAGGGGTGTATTCAGCAATACACTCCAAGGTTCTTAAATTGCATATTAAATTTTGCTGTGATTTGAGTGAAAACCAGTCTATATGGATTATGTACTCTATAACTAAGGCCTGAATGGAGAGATATTACAAGTCTCTTAACAGGCCTCCCTCACACTAAATTCTAATTACTGCTGCATTCCTATCCCCAAGTGTTTAAAGTAATTAAACTGAAAATGGAAGAGGAATGAAGAAGATAAGACTTTATATGCCTCGATGAATTCTGAATTTTCTGAACTTACTAACTTGCTTTTAACATTTACCACACCTAAAAACGTTAACTGAGCACACTGTAACTTACTGTCTATTGAGTCATACTTATTACTGATGCAAAGAAAAGTCACACAAGATGACTATATTCATTCTCTAAAGTGATAAGCTAACTAATACAACTCATCAGTCACTGCAAAGGATTCCGCTCTTTTTGAAATCTTTTTAAATAAATCTATGCATCCATTAAAGGCGGAATTTATGTTTTCTTTATTATAAAAGGTCTTCAGACATTAAGCTATTACGTTTTCAATATTAATTTTCTCTGCTTCTGTACTGTAGTCAAGACCTACTCTTTGTTTTCTTCATTTCATTGTCTTTTCTAGCACACATGCATATGGCATCCAATTTTTTAGCCACTAATGCTACGCTCCAGGCAGGCTTATCAGTACTATTCCTTTCATAATTGACACAGTGTGTTAACAGATATAGGAATTCGCTTTCTTTACAGTTATGGTATTTCTAGAAATTAGTCTTTTGGTGCGGCTTGAGGTGAGACAATAATCAAGGCACAGGCTGGATTACAAACTCAGATTTCCTTTTAGGAACGTATCATATTTGATTTCATCAGCTATCATTCTTTTATCATAGCTATACTTCAAAACAAAAGATTAGACTGACAGTCCTAAATGTATGCAGAGTGAAGTAGTGCAGAGTGACAAGGCCATTGGCTCTATGGGACTTTGTTCAAACCAATGTTTGAACCTCAGCCACCAAGAACCTTTGAGCAGCCAACTTGTCACCCAAAATAAAATCTGCTGCAACACTGAACTGCAATTTATGTATGGATAACATTGTAATATGCCTTTTTTTAAAAAAAATAATGCTTTAAAACTTTTAACATACATAGGGGTGAAGTAATAGGATGCATAGGAGTAAGAATTGTTCAACAGTAATTTGAAACTAAGTTGTACATTTTTTTGTTATCTCAGCATAAAGACCCTTATGCTATATATACTTACAAATCAGTCAGAAACTTCCTTTTCAAAAAACTGAAAATAAAAAATTCTTTTACAGAGAAACTCAACTTCCACACGAAAAAAGTACTTTGGTCAACCTCTTGGTATCATAAGGAATGCTGTACCTCAAAGTCAATCAATTGATTGGCCAAAAAATATGTTTATAAGTAATGTTCAGTCTTCCTCCTGGATAAACCAGGATAATAACCATTCTATTCTTCCATCAAAAGATATTCCTCCCGCTCTGATGATATGCAATGATGAAAAACTGCAGTATCATTTTGAAACACAGAGTATAAGATGACAGTATGCAAAGCAGTTAACAGAGAAAGGCAGGCCTGTCAGCAACTGCTTTTCATTAGCTGGGTCCAATTCCATATCTACCATCTCTAATAAAACATAAAAATACTGCCAGAAAACCCATCTCAAGGCAAGTAGTGAAAACTGATGGTTTACCAGACAACTAAGAAATTCCAAAGCAATATACCTGTGTTCTTATCAACGTTCATTGCAAATTCATATTGATGTGAAAGAGAAGGATCCGGATTTGACGGCAGGTGGAACACTGCTGGCAACTTAGGGGCTTATTTTTATTACTATTATGTCTAATACATAGATTTTTATTAGCATCCATAATGCAGCTCCCACCTGTATGTCAGAATTTTTCAGGAAGATGCTAATGAACTTGCCAATCTGATGTTAGTTCAAACAGGAGAAAGTGCTGCTTACCCACTATTGATGTCATCTGTTCTGAGACTTTTTCCAAGGATATCCCCATCACTCATGTAGCCACCAGCATCAACTTCAGAGGACATATCCAAATCACTGCTTCCCTTCTCACTCACGTCGATCTGTGAGATATTTCCAAGGCGAGAAACAGCTGCTCGGCGAAGTGGGGTGGTGTACATGAATCGAGAAGGATCTGTGTGGATGAATCGACTCGTGCTGCTGCGAGGATACCCGGCACCCAGGGATGGGGCATCTCCTGCCTGTAGCCGAGGACTGGCCTGCCCAAGCCTCCAAGTCACTGGGGTGGACCGGCTTGTCAAGCTCGGTATGCTTCTTCCATTCACTTCTGTTGTCACAGTGCTGTCAAAAGTTGTCTCCAATGTGCTGTCAAAACAAAATGGAGAAGTCAGAATGCTTCCTCTCATCCTGGGAGAAAGGATGGAGTATTAAAAAAAGTTGTGTGTGGTGCATGTCTGTCTGTCCACAGGCACATACATTTGTGTGATAAAAATGTTTGCTTGTAAATAATCTAGAATAAATTTTATTAAGTATCTATTAAAGGCTATTAAACATGTATATGAAACAAACATCTTTGTGAATGATTGCATAGGACACTGACAGAAAAGTACACTGAAGTCACTTATAAATGGTTGAGGGAGTCTAGAAAACAATACGGATGGTGTTATAGTTAATTTTCCCTTGTTAAGTCTCTAATTCATATAGCAAGTAATAACGCATTTCTATAATCTGATATTTAAGTAGTCTACACAAAAGCAGCTTACCTGTGGCTTATCTGGGTCCCTCTAAGGCTGGACATAGTTTCTTCCAAATTCTGCCTCAGGTCTGCTATGTTCTTTACAGTTCTCATCCTTCTTGTTTCAGGGTCTTCCCCTGAAAGAAATAAAACAAAAGTCACATAAATTTAAGTGCATACAAATATATCATGTTAAATAGTTGAGAATACATACATATGATTGTAAACATCTCTGTCTCTTGTTAAAAAATAAAACCTCTTTCTTTCAGTAATAAAAACCACATATGTTGAAGTTAGTGAAACATCCTGATAGGGCCGAAATTTATTAATGAAACTCAGACTAAGAGTGATTGGATTTTTATCTTCTACAATCAAAGCAAAATGCAACCCTGGACCACTTGAGATGTTACACAGCTTCTTTTTCCTCCTGGACATTTTGCATGATGTGGCAAGAAACTAAGCCACAGTAAATTTGTGTTTGGAAAGAACTAGAATGACTTACAGCAGCTCTTCTGTCTGCACTTAACATCCAGACTATTTCAAAGTACTCAAAGCATCTTTCTTTAACGGTTCGGTTCCTGAAGTAGTAGATTATTCTATTATTATATTTTACTTGGGTTAAAAGTCAAAACACTCTTAAGTATGTGAATCATTTACACGATTATGGAATTTAGCAGCCTTCAGCAGGGATGCAACAAATAGCCACAAGTTGTGTCAGGTGAGATTTAGATTAGACATAAGGAAAAACCTTTTCTCTCAAGGGATGGTCAGGAACTGGAATGGCCTGCCCAGGGAGGAGATGGAGTCGCCGTCCCTGTAGTGTTCAAGAGGTGTCTGGATGAGGAGCTATGAGATATGGTTTAGTAGCTTAGTGGTAGTAATGGCAATAGAAGTACTGTTGGAATAGATGGTCTTGTACGTCCTCTCTTTTTTACTCCATCCATGACAAATTTGAAGTCATACCTCACTTTGTCAATCCTACTCATTATGGAAAGTTACCATCAATTACAGTATCATGCAGTCACCAGACACATCTCTAATATCTAACTCCAGATTCCAACATTCCCTTCCAGAAAAATCTTCTATTTTATTTCTGGAATTTTCAGAACATTGAGAAACTGTTTCATCTTTGAACACATCCATCATGACATAGTCTTGTGAATTTAAATTCAACACTGTACAAATTTCAAGATCAGAAATTTAAACATAGACAAAATACTATGTAGCATTGTAATATTTCACGTTTGTAAAATGTAAAATACACATGAAAATTGATATCTAAGTTGCTGCATTTCTCATTCTGTTCCCATCCTTATTCTTCCCATGTTGATATGTGGATTTATACAAGTATAAATTCAACAAAGATGATGTCTCCAAGGAAAAGGATGGTGTATCATCTAAGTGACAGAAGCATGTCTGGGGACAAGAGAGCTGGAAAATATTCGAATAAAATAACCTGATAAGACAATCTAAATGCAACGTCTGTTTGAAGACCTGAGTAAAACATACAAAGTTTATGTTGTATCAAAACCACATTTGTATAACACGGGTTTACAATAGGCAGATTTGAATATAGATAGAGATATTTATTTCAAATACAAGAGAGAACCCGCTGAAAGAAATGGTATTATTTTAACCATGGTTAACTTTATTTATTTATTTTAATTTTTGACTAAAGGATGAAGTCTTTCAGATCAAGGACAAACCTGAATTTGCTACTGTGCTCTCCATGTTTCTGTCGTCTGCTCACTATGCAGGCAGTTAAGAAACTTTTGGCAGTTAATGGAAACATGTTATTGCATATAAATTCTGTATACCCTTTCTTTCTTCCCTGATAGCCCAAGGATGTACAGTACTATTCAACATACTCTGCAGCTCTGGTAGAATGTCAAGCTAGCTTTCGCAGCAATGCCAGTTTGAGGACTTCCCAACTACCCCACGACCAGCTATATCTTCTGCCCTTTTGCTGCAGCCAGTAGTTGTTCAGGAAACAGTGCTATCCCAATTGTTTTATTGCTCTGAATAAATTCCACAGTGATTTCAAGGCCAGACATCCACAAACCTCTGGCTCGGTGGCATGGAACCAACAGTGGGGTGGAGACAAGTACTGCTGCCAAACCTTCCATCTCGTCTTGATGGCATGCCCACCCAGAAGGTTTTGCTCCTTAAAATAAGACATCTGTGTGCATTGAAGGAGGCAAATGTTCACACTCGCTGAAATTACCACCACTAGCTCTGTGTTTTAGGCTAGGCATCTGTTAGTCAAGCACCTTGCTGATCAGTATATGCATGGATCCCATGTACTATTTGCAGAGGTTTCTGTGCCATACTGGAAAATCCTGTGAGGCAGAAGAGTTCATGCCAAAGCTGTGCTGGAGATCATCCTGTTAGACTGAGCCTGCTGTTGAAAGCCCAGACAGAGCTCAGGCTGACTGTCCAGGACAGCCTCCAGGCAGATGCACACAGTTCTTCACTGCCATTGCTCTTTGTCCCTCTGGCAAATGCACTTAAATTTACTTTCAGGAGTGAAAGTGAATCTTCCTGCCACAACACTTACATGGGGGAAACTCCAGGCCTGTTCCCTACCTTGCCTCAAACCAAAAGTGAATCATAAGCTTGGTGGTATGAGACAATATTCTGTTAACACAGAAAGATAAATCTCAGAGTGTAGGCAGGCAGAATTAAGGCAATGCAATCATTTACCTCTGTATTTATTTGAGGAACTGAATATAATCTGCACATACAGTATCTTTGTCTTTTCCTTCCTTGTTTATCCTTGCCAGTTGTCCTTTGCTGTATGCTAACTCTGCAAATTCTTGCAGCAACAATGACAAAAACTGTCTTTTTTAATATATATTGCACAATAACTAGTATAACAAAGCCTTCAGGTGCAATTGCAATAGCAAAAGAAAAAAAGTATGTTTATATGGCAAACTGCCAAAATATATTTTCACAGAGAATGTCTCATCTTCAGACAGATAACATCATAAAAAGTAGCACTCTTATCCCCTGGAAAGGTGGAAATTTTGAGATTTAATCTCTTTTGATGTCTCAGTCACACAGGGGTAATATCAAAACTACTTTTTCTAAAAGAAATAGAACTGGAACGTTATGATCTTAAAATACTATGTAGTGCTATGAGTACTTACATAGCATTATATAGTATTTTAAGATCATAACATTCCAGTTACGATCCAGTTAGAAATCTCCATTACCATAGATACTGTTTTACAAATAACTATTATCTTTTCTTTCTCTTATGAGTGGACTGATGAGCTTATGCTGTATCCCTCATTAACAAGTCAAAAAGAATAAACAACTGACCACAATACTTGAAAAATTTTCTGTGGTGAGTGTGAGACTCTCAGACCTGACTTGAACCTGACATTATCTACATTTTCAGGACTTTCCTGTTGCTGCTAATGTACATAAAGTCTTCCACACAGAAGACCATAGGGCTGGTGGACACATTATTCTGAAAGCTAGCTATACCTTGTTTGCCAGAACAGCCACTATGTGCTTATTGCAGAAGGACTGGGACACAACGGATAGGTTCAAAGGGATCCCAAATTCCTCCTGACATCCTGTTATAATAATAGGCACTGCCATCATGCAGTCTACCTATATTTGCATGCCCTCACATATCAGAAATGGTTTGTAATCTCAAGTACTCTGCTTTGCACACAAGAAAAGTCATTCTGCTTCATGCACAAAAAGACTGGGATAAGAATGACTAAAACCAGGGCATTCTGAAACTTTCTTTCAAAATACTGTTCTTCTTACAAGGAAGTTGGATGTAGGTATTTTACTGACCTCATGGATGTAATCTCCTTAAATCACTTGTAGCTTTATCGTTGGTATTAAACATAAACATTCCAAAAATTTGCCTCCCAAATTCTTGCCTGTTAGTAGTGAAACATTACAGTTTCTCTCAGTAAGTTTCTAAGAAACACTGTTTGTTCTTCCATTGTGTGAAATACACACATAGGAAACAAAATAAAGCACCTTACAGAAATCAATGATCACCTAGGTTAAACTTTTACATTTATTATTCTCAATCTTACCCACATTGAACATTTAAAAATAGGATTCAGAATCATTTTGGTACTTGAGTGTACATAATTACAGCCCAAAGCAGATAATGAGAGAATAATAATTGCATTAATTTTGTGATTTTCACTAAAGGATTCAAATATAAGCAGCAGAGAATTTTTACTCTTAGACATAAACTTCATTCACAAATGAGAGTACCAGTGTCATTCTGCAGATGGGGAAACTGAGGCTCACAAAGAAGAGAGATTTGCTCAAGGATGGATGAAGAGAAGCTAGAGAAGGTGAAGAGTTCAGCTGCCTTGGCTAACAAGCTTCTAATCTCTAGAAGAAATCTCTTCTAGAATACAGCTATAGTCTACCAGGTTAATCATAAAAAGACAGTGCTTGTTTCATTGTCATTTGGAGATGATAGCTTTCTACATTACATGTACAGCAAACATTTTGTCCTAAGTTTAAACATAATCAAGGCTAGCACACCCAACAGAAAAGAGCCTCCAGGCCAGGTGCATGCTGGGTGACCTTGGAAAAGGAAGAAGATATTTCAACCATTTGACAGGCTAAAGAACAAAGCTCTAGAAATGAACACTTTGAGCACTGAGAGATGAAAAGTAAAGCCAGTAATACACAAGCCTTTTGAAGAACCTATGGCAGTGGATTTCAAATGCTCTCTGGCATGCACTGATACAGCAAAATTGTAAAACCCTGGCACTAACAATTCCTCATATATGGATGAAATTATCAACAGAGAGAAGGGAACAGCAGTAATGGACAGTTTGTACGTAGGCCATTTGCTATAAGACACATTTGCTATAAATTGGAATCTTGAATTCAAGGTTTGGTTTAAAACTCATGGGAACGAATGCCATGAGATTAATTTTAGAGTGAACTAATAGTACCTAAGTGTTTCACCTTATTTTTTTCCAACAGCTTAAGAAAACTACACTCAATTATTCACACATTATTGCTGCCCATGCACCCATCAAAAATGATTTGGACAATTGTCTTCATTTCACAGTCTTTAGATATAAGAGTAAGCAAACAAGGAAAAAGTGACCAGACCCTGTTTTTGCATACTACTGCAAAC